CCTTTCTCCAGTCCTTAAAGAAATTTTTCCTAAATATTTCCTTAGTAGTATATTCATGATCGAGCATTTTTGCAAAGAATGTAGCTACTTCTTCTGCTTTGGGGCTCAGCTTCATGACTTTACCTAGAAGAAAAAATGGTTCCCAAAAATGAGATGTAGTGTTCATGTTCTGAGTATAAAGACTGAGCTCAGGAGAAATCTGCTTTAATAATGGTTTGCCTTCCCAAGATATACAAAGGTCTGGTCACACATGGCAACAACAACAACAAAGACAATATTCTGATTCATATCTACTTGTATAAATGCTCCTTCTCTTTAGCAGATATTTACCTGGGTCACTCTCTGGAGACTATGCCAGTAAATTGATCCCAGGTGCCTGCTCAGGACAGGGATGACCTGGGGGAGGCCCAGTCACTCTTCCTTTTCCTTTCAGCAAGCAGGGTCCTTTACACCTCTTCAATGGTTTTTAAAAATCAAATCCTCAGAGGGACTCCTGCCACTGCTAAGCTAAGCAGCTTCTGTTCAAGAAGGGGAGGAAAGGATAGGGCAGGGAGTGGAAGAAAGGAATCGTGGGGAAAAGAAATAGGCATCTTTCTTCTTTAGAGTTAGGTGGGTGGATTATGAATAAAATCTATCTATATATATCCATAGCAGGCAAGCCCAGATATCCCATATGAAAAGTCTAAATAGGACCTAACTCTAAAATCTTGCGACTCGAAGTGTGGCTCAAGGACCAGCATACCGGCATCACGTGGATGCGTGTCAGAAATGCAGCGTCTCAGGCCCCGCCCCAGTACTACTGCATCAGGAGGTGCGTTTTAACAAGACCCCCAAGTGGCCTGCGTGCACACTCGAGTTTGAGATGCACTGCTCTGGAACACAGGCATTAGCCTCTTTCAGGGAAACTGGGCTCATCTAGAGCACAAAGGATAACTGGGGTCCTCAGCATTGTGCCCCCATTTATGTGTTTAGTAAAAGCCCTTCTAACAGAATCCTGATGTCACACAATGTAAAGTAAATCTGAATGGGGCCTAGGGGTTTTGTGTACCTTAAGTAGTTGATAAAGCAATAAAGAACAAGTACTTGGGAATTTAATCTACTTTTCAAATCGAGTACTTTTAAAAGTACTCTTAGGGCCAATTTCCATTTTTTCCCTAACTTTACAACACCATCTGGAACTAATCCATGGCATAATAATTTGGCTATACTTAAAATGAGATTCAATACTATTTCACCACCTTACTATTATTACATAGGTACTAATAATTCACCAAAGACCTTCACATTTACTATAGAAAACTATAACTTAACCAGAAATCCATTAATTTCCAAACTCAGAAGACATCTCCTCTCATGATGGTTGGGAGGTTATCGTCCCTGATTGTAGGGATACAGGGAATTGAAACACAAAAATGAAACTGTCGCACACGGCAGGCAGAAAGAACCTGCTTGGGATCCGTAACTTAAAAGGCCAGTAGGTGGCGCCGCTTCCTCCCTCAACCTCCCAAGCTACAGTCTGCAAGACGACACTGGGGAGGCTAGGTTGGCTTTCAAGGGTTTCCTGAACCCCTGGTCTGAACCAGAGGTGCCAGTATAGCTGTAACATAAGCTTCCAATATAAAGGAAACATTAAGTCACTAAGAATGAAATAAATGGCAAGAAAGACTGTACACCGTTCTCAGGTCTGCTTGGTATAAACCACGTTAACAGTATTATTATTTTTTTTAAAGGGAGACTCTTTGGGCAATTTTACTGAATTCTGTCCCAACAGAGGAAGCAATTTTGATACCTCCTATTTTAGATGAGCTGTCAGAGATGAAATGACAGCTCCCAGCAGTGGTGGGAGGATGACTTGATGGTTCCTGGCAATGGTAGTGCTTCGATGGAAAAGGCTGGGCTCCAGGAAGAAACTGCTGAGTCAGAGCTGAAAACTGGAAGTTCTTACAGGCAATGTACTGCCTCAGCCAGCTCGTGCCCGACCTCCCTGGCGGGTTCTAAAGGAGTCTGAGAATTCACTTCCCTAGAGAGTAGGCAGGACTTAACAGTATCAATTTGGACTAATATGACTCGTAAGACAAATACAATTTCTTGACTTACTGAAGCATGGGAGTTTACAAACAAAGGCAAGAAATTCCAGAGACAGGACCATCAGAAAACACACTGGAGCCTGGGAGCTCCTACGAGGGAGGACTGGGGAAGAATGGGAAAGGGACCAAGGCGACCAGTGATGCTGGCTGCTCAGGCTTTTGCTTCCCATCTGGAAATGGAAGAGAAACCCAAAGACTAGGGGACCCAGCTTCCCGTCAAACCCCTTTGAACCTCAAAGTGAAGCTTTCCCAGCTGAGCTTTCCAAAGCTCCTGGTAAGCCCAGAGTAGGGCCACAGAACACTTGCACTTTAAGGACTGACTTTCTCAAGGTCCTAGGCTCTTTCTTTTCACTAAAGTTTTGGCTTTGAGTCACATTTAAGCGTCTCCAGGAATGACCCACTGTCAGGGCTAACAGAACTGTCCCGTGCTCTCTGCTGAACACAGGTCGGAATGTTTCATTTGATGCAAGCATTTGTCACTGAGGCTACAGGGTCCTGCTAGACTGCAAACACCATGAGATCAGAGATTAGTCAATAGTGACCACTGCTGGGTCTTGGTGTCTGAATACAGACACACTGAATAAACATAGTTTTAAAAAACAAATTCCAGTTCGCCAAGTTTGACACGTCCCTTGCTTATGTGACCCAGCCTTTCAGTATAAATTACCATGTTGACTTATAAGCATCCATGGCTTTGAAGCCATTGCTGGTAGACAAAGGTGCAGAACTCTTGAGTGTTCACCACTGATGCTTTTCAGTTCTCCTGCTGAGTGTTTCTCAAAGTATGGTTCAGAGGCACCCAATACTACTCCACACCTATTAAATGGGCCTAGTTCCAGCTGGGGAACCTTAAGCACATAAGGGTTTGAGGAACAATGAATGCGCTAGCCATTTCTGGATAGAACTCTGGGAATGAAGGAAATCAGTTGGGCATTACCGTCTCCCAAGGACAGAAATGCCAATAATAAATAGTTAACGGACAATTCTGAGGGTTCTAAGGGAACTAGGCAGGGCGTAGCTTCAGAGCAGCTCCTCAGACCTGAATGCACATACGGAACAGGCATAATATGTTCTGCTGTGCAGAGTGAGTGACAGACACCTAGCAGCCCTGCCTAGGGGTGGATGGCAGACTAATCCTTAAACAAATACTAGCACTGTTTCTAGTGATGAGCAGCTTGTCAGTTTGCATTATATGACTAAAATAAAACACTACCATTCAAGACTTTTCTAAGAATCCCTGCAAAGAATAATTCCTTAGAAATGAAGTTCAGATAAAAACGTTTAGCTTGTAAGACCAAGTGCTGTGAGCTACATGCAGAAGGACCTTTTTGGGACCATGTAGATAAAACATTAACAGCCCCTTTCTCATGGCACTTTTTCAGCACCAAATGGGCCTTTAAGAGTTAAATAAATACCTGATGGCCCTTGCGTCCAACCACATGACGACAATAAAACAAAATGAAATAAACAGAAAGGACTATACAGCATAAGATCTTCCCTCACTTTCTATTCCTGAATAGAAGCAGACTCTTTTCTTGGCCAAGAACTGGACAACCTTGGAACAACTCACCATCATAGTAAAACTTGACACTCTCTGGAAGAGGCTCATACGGTGGAGCAAACACGGGACCTTTATGTTCTAGGAATTTCCACTTGATGCCTTCAGGATAGCGCTCTTCTTCCCACCTTTCAAAGACAAGGTACAGCCTCATTTAGTGGTCACTTCGCCTAATATAGAGATATCTATCACCTATTAAATGCCAAAAGTATCATATGCTCAACTGACTGGTGCTCTAGAAATGGCTCTGAGCCCCACATTCAAGGATCAAAAGCACCAGTGTCTTTCACTTTGAAAAAGCCAACACTCAAAACAAATAAGATGGACTGGAAGAAAATACATTTCAACAGTTCAGTTCAAAGATACTGGATACATGAGGTCATTACTCAAGGAACTCAGCAGCAAGTGAGGATATGGAAATGGAAACAGTTGTTTTACCACAATGGTATAACAGTGAACCACCATGGAATACAGGACAGAGGTATGTTTATGCTGTTGATACATAAGCAAAGGCTTCCTGGGAATGGAGATGCCGGGTGACCCTATAGGGGAAACGACCCGATGAGAAAGGACATAATGGAACAGAAGACTGGGAAATAATAGTTCAGATGGATTACACTGAGTTTAAGGTATTTATGAGTTATCTAGAGCTGTCTAGCAGACACTGCTAAGTGGATGTAAAGCTCAGCGGAAACAGCTTTTTAAAAACCTTTTTATTTAAAAAAAAATGACCAAACATACAGAAAAACAAAGAATAATACATAGAACCATATACCATCACCTATATACAACTATTATTGTTATGCTAAATTTCCTATATTTTGCTGAACTATTTCAAAGTAAATTGCAGATATAATACCTCACCTCTAAATAAATGTTTCAGTAAACATCTCTATACAAATAAGTATATTCTCTCACATAATTTTATTATCACATGTAACAAAATAATTCCCTAGTATCATTTTCATACCCAGATCACATTATAAACTTCCCAATTGTATCCAAAATGTATCTTATGGACTAGGATCCAGTTAAGGACCATACACTACAATTGGTTGATATGTCTCAAAGTCTTTCATTCTCTAGAATTATACAGACCCCTCACCACCACCATCATTTTTAAGAGTCAGCCAGTTGTCTTACCAAGAGAGTATTCAAAAACTTCACAGATTTTAATCTTCACTATTTCTACCTTAAAATCAAAAGCCCTATAGTTCTACTGAATCATTTTGAAGGCCAATTATGTACACTCTATTATTTCCCATTATCTTCCAACTCCAATATTTTAAACAAAGTTTAAAAATATCAAATAAAAATTACATACTTATAAAGCCAAAGTCAACATATATAGTCAAATGATTTTTGACAAGGGCATCAAGACCATTTAATGGAGAAAGGACACTCTTTTCAGCAAATGGTGTTGGGAAAACTGGAGAGTCACATGCAAAAGATTGAAACTGGGTTCTTATCTTACACTACATACAAAAATAAACTCAAAATGTATCAAAGACCCAAAATAAGAGCTGACACTATAAAACTCCTAGAAGAAAACACAGGGTAAAAGCTTCATAACACTGGATTGAGCAATGATTCTTAGATGATACCAAAAGCATAGGCCAATGAGAGAAAAATTAGTTAAATTGGATTACAAAATTTAAAACTATGCATCAAAGGATACAATCAACAGAGTGAAAAAGCAACCCATGGAATGAGAGAAATATTTGCAAAGCATATGTTTGATAAAGGGTTACTATCTAGAATATATAAACTACAAACTCGACAGCAACAAAAAACCCAATTAAAAAACAGGCAAAGGACTTGGATCGACATTTCTCCAAAGATACACAAATGGCTTAAGCATCTGAAAAAATGCTTAACATCACCAATCATTAGGAAAATGTAAGTGATAGCCACAAGATACCGTAATTCACACCCATTAGAATGGCTATTGTTAAAAACAAAACAGACACCAGGAATAACAAAGTTGACGAGGAATGTGGAGAATATGAAACTCTTGTGCACTGCTGGTGGGAATGTAAACGGTGCAGCTGCTATGGAAAACAGCACGACGGGTCCGCAGAAGTGAAACACAGAATTACCATATGATCTAGCAATTTCACTCCTAGGAATATACTCAAAAGAACTGAAAGCAAGTATTAAACTACTTGTACAAGGATGTTGATAGCAGAGCTATTCATACTTGCCAAAAGGTGGAAACAACCTAAGTCTCCATCAACGGATAAACGGACAAACAAAATGTGGCCTATACATACAACTGATTATTATTCAGTCTTATAAAGGAGGGAAATTCTGACACATGCTATAACATGGATGAATCTTGAGGACATTTCCTTAATAACCCAGTTATAAAAGGACAGATATTGTATGATTCCACTTCTATGCGGTACCTAGAGTACGCAAACTCATAAAGGCTAAGTAGAATGTTGGTTACTAAGAGCTAGGGCAAAGGGGAACGAGGGAGGAGCTACTGTTTCACAGTTTCAGTTTTGTAAGATGAAGACAGTTCTGGAGATAGATGCTGGTTATGTCTGTACGGTAATGTGAATGTACTTAATACTTAACTGAATAGTTAATGGTTATGACCATCAATTTTGTTATTTTACTACAATGGATACATAATTTAAAAAAAATAAACCTCAAAGTCAAGATTTAATAACACCTTTGGACCTGGAAAACATTAAAGATCCTCTATAACCAACCTACCACTTTACAGATATGAAACCGGCAAGATCTCCCAACTAGATGTTGGCATAAGGCCTGGATGCAGGAACCCACCCAAATCCCCAAGTCTATTACTCCTCTCCAAATCAGAGAAAATATGCACATATGTATGTATGCATGCATGTGAGAACAACTGCAGGAAGTCCATCTGTAGCAGTCACAGCGTAACTATGGGGGGATTCAGAACACTGTTTTCCCTTATCCTGGGACTTGGTTCCATTCTTCTCGTCAATTCTAGTGTTTTTAAATTAAGACTCCAAACTATTTTTAGTAATTCCTTCTATTCCAACATGTTCATCCTGAGGACTCACTGTTAATTTCTTTACCATTTAAGCAAATGAAGAGACTGAGTGAATCACTCAACCCTAAACCTCAGTCTAAACAGACAGACAGAACATACCCTCCAGCAGGCTGGCTGGTATCACTGGATCAGCAGCTCCCACTGCATGTGTCTCTGAGAGCAGTGCTGCCCTTTCAGGCCCCAGCAGCGGCTCACCAACAGAACTAAGTAAAACACGTACTTAGACATCAAAACGACTTCTCTATGGCAGGCTTGACTTACTAATTCGAGTTAGGTATCAACTTGACAATAACATGTGCTTGACTAGGGGAAAGTAGAAGAGTGCTAGAAATGTGTGTTAAGACAGAAAAGTAAGCATCCATGTGCTCTTTGAAATCAAGCTCCCTTGCAGTTAACCAATTCCTCACAGTGCACTGTAAAATGCATTATTTAATTTTTTAAATTTCAGAAATAAAGGTCATGTGCCACAGCTTTCTGGAAGTTAATCTCTGGAGTCAAGGACAGTTTCTCTGCTTTGAAGAAATGTCTATATTCCTTAAATTTCTTATCACTATTTCTGATTGTATTCGTGAGTCCTGGTCTTTCAACACTAATTCCTTACATTATAATCCTAACACCATCCAGCCTTTTACCTGTGCCAAAGGAGACTTAAAACTCCATTTAGAAGTCACACCTAACACCAGCAATCAACTCCCCAGTTTCTAGGTCTTTCTGTGAAGAATCATCTGTTTAGAATAAACATGGGATTTTTGTTCCAACAGGTCAGCCCTGACACAAAAGTGTACTTAACTCAAGGCAGAGCTGAAACCCTATACAGCTCTAGTGGGTAACAGTTAAAACAGGGGGGGTTTGGGTTATGTAGGTTTTCCATGGAACTGAGCCTGAGCATACTGCAGCCACTTGTAATACTGTTTCTACGGGGAAAATGTGATCCAGTAAAGAAACTCGGAGGGTTCTGGACCATTTTCCCATGCCCACAATAACCAGAGAGAGAGAGAGATAAGGATCAAAGTTTGTTTTGGGCAGGATGAACAAGTCCGTAGACTTTTGGGGGGTGGGAGGAAAAGCAAAAGATCTGCACATTTGCCAAGCTGGTAAAAGTGTGTAATTCTTTTAGTGGAATAGCAAGAGGATAGTAAAGATGAGAGTAAGAATCTGCCATTTAAGTTCCCTGACTAGGCCATCAGTGGCAGTCACTGAGGACTGGCACTGACTTCAGAGTATAATAGACAGCTGATAGTGACAGAAGGGAAGGACAAGCTCTCAGTTAGGAGGCCAGTCATTCCTGTTCTCTACTTCTAAAGACTTGCAGTGTACCATCAAGCAGTGTGCTTAAAAGAATGCACAAAATATAACAGTCAGGCTTGAGAAAAGCATGCTTTGGAGGCTGTAGCCAAGGCTGCTTACCCCCCAACCAACCTTCTTCCGTTAAAGACTAACCAGTCCCACTTAAACCACAAGAATAAAAACCAAAGGTCACAGGATCTCAGAATTAATGTGTGGCAATACCAACAAAGATTTCATCCACGGAAGCAAAATTCGGCTATTTGAGCCTTCCAGGGAACGTAATTCCACACACACAAGGCTGGGCCAGAAAAGAGTGTATCTGCTTCAGGGCCCAGTAAGAGCCAAGGCTCCGAAGGAAGGGAGCTAGTGATGACAAGGAAATGAACACCTTCATTCAACACTTACTGAGCTCCCACCACAGAGCCCTGTGAGCCATAACAGACTGATGGATTATTAACTCACCATTCTCACGGCTCCCGATAATAACCCAATTTACACAACCACTTCATTTTATCTAAAAAGATCCTTTTATTGAAAGTCAGAAAAACCTTTCAATATTCTATCACTGAAAAACTTTGGTTGGTTCCAAAGAAAAATGAAATAAAAATGAAAAACAAAACAAACAAAAAAACCGCCAAAACAAAAACGTGTCTGTCCTTTTCTGACTCTGACCTCTGGAGAGGCCCCAGATGCCTTTGCTCTGTGCTTCTCCTTTTCTACGCTTTCCTTTAACCCATGTGCGTTCACACCAACAGTGCCAGTTACAGCTGTGCTGAGCGCTTCAGGCCCTGCAGCTCT